TTTTTTCTTGGCTTTTATCAATTTGATCATCCACACCGATAGACAGTATTCCAAAATGAGGAAAAACAGGTTTTGTTTCACACCGGGTGAGAATAGCCTACGCTGGCAAGTCTCACCCAGGGTGAGAGGTAGATCGTATTTTTCTATTCTCACCCCGGGTGAGAATAGCCACTTCCGTAGCTTCTCTGTTTTCATTCCTTTTTTTTTTCTTTCTTTGTTATTGTTATTCTTCTTTCAAATTCAATTCACTCACTCACACACATGCGGCTAAACGTAGAATGACGCATCTGCCTGATTGGCGGCTAATTTTAGTAATGTGATGTCATCACACTCTGTTATACCCACAGAATATATTTAAAAGGCGTTGGAGATACCAAGGATCGTGTTGTAGAGTATCTTTGGAGATAGGCCTACCGAATAGAACATGTTTGGTCAGTGGCTTGACGTATTATTCCGTATCGATGTGTTTCACACGATAAAATTTCACACATGCGGCTAACTACAGCCGGTCAGCCATGCTCTACTGATAAGTTACAAGGTTTCCGGTTTGTTACCCTATCCGTACGTCGTGTTTTACTATCGTATCCATACGAAGTGGGAACTCGGTTCCACCATTTTCAAAAAGAGAAAATTTACTCTTTAATCCAATCCATACGCTTTGCATAGCAGTCTGTCAAAATGATTTTTTGAGAAATACTGAAAGTTTCAAAGAGATCTTCGTACTAGAAGTATTCTAAAATGTGAAGAATACAACCCCGGGGGTACAAAATGACCCAAGGGCGTACGGATAGGGTTAATAACATTCAGAATTTCAGTAGTGATGCTTGAAATTGAAACACGGTAAACACAAAGACAATAAAGCGCGCAGAATTTTCCATAAAGACGCCAGAAGATTAACCCCCCTTCGGGCATGATAAACAATGCACAAAAGAGAATAGCAGCAGCACCATCATCGGTGCACTGCATCATGTCTAATTATCAGTATTCCTGGAAAAACATCGCACCAAAGCATCGTGCTATCAAAGGTTCTCTACACAATCTTTGGTGACGGGCGGTTGGCTATATTTCTCACCGTACAGTTGAATGTCAAACCTATTCAGGAATCCAGGACAACCATCTGCCCATTGTCTAAGAGAAAAAGTCTTTATGAATGAGGCTAAAAGCTAAGAGTGAGAAAGTGTCATTTGTTCGGTGATTATCTTGAACAGTTGGTCTTTGGAGTAGGTCTGACTGTATTTTGCCAGTAAAACTAAACCAGGGGTGTCAAATCAGTTGCTCATGGGGGCAAAACTCAAATTACGCTTAGGTTGCGGGCCAAACTGGATAAACCACTCACTGATCAGATCAACAGTGGAAGACCACTTTTAGTATACTTGGACTTGATTGACATAGAAGGTATATCTGTAGATCTAGAAGCATTTTATGTACTTTTTTTCAAACTTCTTAGCCAAGGAGCCATCCTGTCACTAGTTTCACTTTCACAAGTGAGATTCTTTTTTTCTTAGAAAATAAGTTAGGACCCGAATCGCTCTATTTATTATTATTTGATTCATTTATATTATCATGAATGAAGATTGGATATTCTAAGACTAAAGAGTTTACAGCTTCATTGCTCTAAGCTATGGGGTTCGGTGCTTTACTGTCTTTGATATATTTTTATTCTGAAGTCTTCACAACCTGACATTGTTTTTGTTTTGTTTTTTTACACTAGAAATGGACAAAGAAATGGCTCATTGCACACATTGTTTTTTTGGGGTTTTTTTTACAGTAGAACTGGATAAAGTAGAAATGGCTCATCGTAGCAGTAGATGTTTCCTCTTTCTTGTATTGTTTTGTAAAGAAAAATATGGTTTTGTCCTTCAAGAATTCACAGGGAGATCCTGGTAGCCCTCAAAGTGGAGGCAGCAGAGCATCAAGTCCTGCCAAAAGCCCCACAAGTGTAAGGAGTGGTAGCCCAGCTGGCAGTGAGAAAAGTGGGAGTCCTCCAGGAAGCCACAGAAGTGGCAGTCCAGGGGGCAGTGCTCACAGTGGGAGCCAACCTGGAAGTCCTGCAGGGAGTCACCGAAGTGGGAGCCCAGCTGGCAGTGAAGGAAGTCACAATGCCGAAGAGGAAGGCAGTCAGCAAGGGAGCCCAGAACGGAAAAGCAGAAGTGGGAGCCCGCCAGGTAGTCCTGCAGGTAGTCACAGGAGTGGGAGCCCTGCAGGCAGTAACAAGAGCGGATCTGCTCCGGCTAGTCCACGTGAGCAAAGTCGGAGTCGAAGTCGCAGTCGCAGTGTGAGTCCGGCAGGGAGCAAAAAGAGTGGTGGTGATGGTAGCGCACGGAGTCGAAGTGGAAGTCCGGCTGGCAGTCAGAGAAGTGGAAGTCCCGCAGGAAGTCATCGCAGTCGGAGTGGTAGTCCACAGGGTAGTCGCAAAGGAAGTGCCAGTCCCGCAGGGAGTCATAGAAGCAGAAGTGGCAGCCCAGCTCAGAGTCATGCCAGTGGGTCAGAAAAAGGAAGTGGTGGAGGTAATCCAATACTTTAATTTAGATAGCATGCTCTTTTATATTGACGATAACAGGGTACAAGAATGTTGTATGCACATTCGTAAAGGACGTTCATTTATAAGTTTCATTTGTGTTTTAATATTATGAACTTTTCTTTGAAGGTTGAATTTTTGTAAACAGTTGAACTAGTGTTTGAATGGGGACTGTAATTATAAGTGTAAACGTACAGAGAGACAAAAACCTTAATTTTGTCGTCCAATTAGTACACACAGGAACTTTGATGTGCATACGTGTACAACAATGAAAAATCTTCACTTTATAATACTGTAGATGCCATTTTCTTTCCCAACGTTGGTCCCCTAAATTACAGAAAGTTGCCATGATTATAACTGAACTTGGATCAGTATTTTCTGGTGTCTATTTTAGCTCTTCAACTGATACTGTATGTCTATAAAACTGATTTTTTCTTCCAGAGCAGCTTATTTGCATTCATTTAGGTGTTTTATTGCAAGTAAAGGATTTTCATTGAAAATTGCCGTAAAGTTCAAGCTATTGAAGGCAACTGTCTAAAACCGAAATCCACTAAATGTTTTTAAAAAATCAGAACTTTTTTTCATAAATATGCAGCACCAGTTTAATAGCTACACAGGGATGCCCCTTTTCCGCTTTTTTTCCGGTATTTCCGGTATTTTGATCTTGATCCGCTATTCCGTTATTGAGATCGAGATAGAATCTATAGTTGGAAAAAAAAATATTTGGGTTTGAAATTGATATTCATGTTAGCGAGACTGTGGCTCGTGGATTTTCAGCTATTTAAAAAAAAGTTGAGTGGCATCCCTGACTACACCAGATTATACAACATAGATATATGAACCATGGGTGTCTTGAAAAGTACTCACCCACCTGTTGGACCGTGCTTAGGCGTTATAAGTTTGGTGTAGAGAAAAATGATTTAGGTGTATTCTAGAATAGATGAGGGAGTGACGCTCCTGCAATATGGAAACATTTGCAAACAAGCTGCATTGTTGTTCATATTGCAGGGTTTAAAGCTTAGGAAAACGGTTGTTGCTTATAGCCTGAAAGTTTATGGTGTTAAGTGGGAATTGCTTTTGTTTTTGCCTGCAGGCAGCAGGGCCAGCTCAAGAGCTAGCAGTGCCGACAGTAGAGGATCTTCTCCACGTAAGTGTTATTGCTAACGAGCAAGCCATTATTGAACTTAGGCTTGGACTTTGTAACAAAGGTGTCAGACTTGGTAGATTTCCTAATTTTGTAAAACTATTTTAGTGAGAGAGAAAGATAGCAAGAATGTTACAGTATTGTGCAGTGTAGAGTTCTGAGAGGTTAGGATGACCTGTGTGATTAGTGATGTTCCTCAATCATGAGATTGTGTGATTTGATGTAATATTGTGTTAAAAATATATCAACCGGGGTAAAAACTTGAAAGTTTTGTTGACTGGTTCTTGGCCATAATGATGTTTGCTGCTTATGAATTTTGGGTTTATCAAAGTGATGGACACTGTATGTTAGTAACGATGATGAACATTGTTTTAATGAAAAAGTCATGCGGGTGCAGCTATATATACATGAAATTTGTAATGAGTGCATGTATGGGTCTGTTTGTGTGAAGCATTTTCTTTTCTTTGGGGGGTTTTCGTGGTAATATAGCAATTGTCTAAATAAATAAACAGATTGAATCATGAATCTTGCTGTTCATTCAGAGTTGTATGCTTCACCCGCTCAGTACTGAATGGGACACATATACTTCTGTATTTCTATTCTCTGATGAAAACTGTACAGTGTTCTAAATTTGTTTATAGAGGGGCCTGAACTAAGGTTGTTATACTACTGTTGTTACTCAAAATATTGAGGTTGTAGAGGATGCATTGTTAGCCTTCCTGCATGTACAGATATGTTCTCTTGAGAATGTTTATATGCGTTGGAAAATCCTTTTACACAATAGATTATCTGTTTTTACATTTTCGCCAGTAGCATTTTCCATTTTATCTCTCTGTAGTACACTTACACATATTTCCCCTTTTGCGCCACAGGTAGAAGAAAACGATCAGGGTCAGGCTCTGGCTCTGGTTCAGACTCTGGAAGTGATGTGCCCAGGAAGAAATCAAAACGACAGATTGGCAGTGATGATGATGATGACGATGCTGGAGAAAAAGATGAACTTGATGAAATTGATCAGGCTGAGAGGGATGCTTTGCTTCAAGAAGGTGATTGAACAATAAGCTTTTAAATATCTGAGAAACAAATGCTGCGCTGTATATATTTTTGCCGTCCCTTTTTCCTTCCTGGTGCATGAATGATATATTGTGATAGTACAAAAAAGTTGACTTCTATTTGCAATGACTTATGTGTTCAATTCTTTTCATCATTGTCTGTGTAGGTGTTTTACTGTAGTAGTATATATTACTCATCATATTGAATTGTAGTTCATCAAAAAATTTATCTTAGTATGATATAGCCTATAGCATGTGTTTGTTTTTAATTTCTTTTATCAATCGTACATTGCCTTCTTTCTACAGCTGAAATGGACTTAACGGATCTTAATGCAATGGAGCTGTTTGGAGATGCCGCTGATATCAGTTCAGATGAAGAAGACAAGACTGCTAAACCGGCCGGAGAAGATGAAGACGATGTTGTCAGAAGGGTACTTTCAATAGAATTTCTTATTATGTGACTGAATTTGATTTTTTAATCCTGTACACTAAAGGGAAAGTGCAAATGGCCATAATTGAGCGTTATCACTGAAGTACACATTTTCCTAGTATTTTATCTTATTATATATCCTTTTTGAAAGTCTGTGAGCTTTTCGATAAGTATGATAGCTTGGTCAAGATTTCCTTGCTGTCGAAGTGGATTAGATTGCTGTATCATTTGGAAACTGTTCACAAAATGGTGGGACTCTTTAGTCAGAAAAGCTTTTTATCTCAGTTGACACATCAGCTAATGAGTATTCATACACTTGAAGTATTTTTTGTGGCAATGTAATGGAGAGATCAAAGCAAGTACTCAGTACCTTGGTCTGCCCATCTTTTCATTTTATTATTATTTTGATGATTCCTTTCACAGGGACCAGTTATAGAAGATGATGAAGAGGAAAACAAAGAGGAAGAACTGCCAGAGAACAGAATTGAAGTAGAAATTCCAAGAATTGTCACCCAGCTTGGATCATCACTTCATTATGTGAAATTACCCAACTTTTTGAGTGTTGAAACAAGGTAATAGTTCAGGAGATAATAAACCATTGCTATCCATGCAAATTTATTTACTCTTTATGCTAATGTTTTCTTTTGTTTTATTATTTTGAGTAGAGGGGAGCACATTGATACAGTGAGGGTCATTTAGTGGAAGGAAAAAATAAGATAGACACAAAGAACAGTAGACCTTGCCAGTGGTGCCCTCCAACTTCTCAAACCTGGTTTTTTTTTGTTTTTTTGGTATAACTCATAAGGATGATTGAGGTCTTCATTGGCAGTGCTAAAATAAAAACACCTATAAATAGGTATATATTGTTAATTCGATTAGAATTTGTTTTTACCATAACATTTCTGTTTTATTAAATTATTCTCTGTTTAGGCCTTATGATGCAGAGACATACGAGGATGAAGTTGATGAAGATGAAGTTCTTGACGAGGAAGGCAGAGCTAGGTTGAAGCTACGTGTGGAGAACACAATTCGATGGAGGAAAAAGTTGGATGAAGATGGCAATGAAGTGAAGGATGACAATGGGGAAGTGTTACGTGAAAGCAATGCAAGGATGGTGCACTGGTCAGATGGGAGGCAAGTAGTTCTTATTAATTCATCTTCACATTACTCATGATAGTATCACATAGTTATTTGATAAGTTTACCCTACTCAGTCAAGAAAAAAGGTAGCATTAATTTCTATTTTGTGTTGGCTATAGAGATATATTATATATGGAAAAAATTAAGATTATAGGTACCACAAGCGAAATTTTTTTGGAACAATATAGATGTTTAAACCTTAGGGGTTCAAATCTACTCTATAAAACAAGAACATTAAAAAAAGAATGATAAAAATCCATCAATAAACAATCGAGATATGGTATTTCAAAGTTTTCTTTTTGAACGAAACCTTTTCAACTGCGACGTTCACCCATGTTTGAGGTGTTTTAAAATACAAAGTGCACGATCAAATCAATGAAAACTTTGTTTTTCCCAGAGTAATCAACACAAATATTGATATCTCTAAATCAAAGCATGTTAGAATGACTGGTTTCCAAGATATAGGCCTTCAAAAATTGAAAAAAAATGCCAAAATTTGTCATTAAGAGCTCAGAACCCTATTTCAACCTCTTCCAAATTTGTCAAAACTGCCTCCTCATTAGTGAAAAGCACACAATCATTACAAATGCATGCAGGGACTTAGCTGAATTTTTTTCAGACCTCTCTGACCATAAGTAACTTTTCTGGACTCCTCTGAAGTGGGCTTCGGTGCAAAAAACGCCTCTTGGAAGAGAATTAGGGGAATTCTGGTACATCCTCGAGCAAAAAGCATCATAACAAGTGAACAAATTAAGCTACAGGGCTAAATCATACATCAAATTAAAGCTCAATGCAAGCTCTACGAGGCTAAATGAAAATTGTTTACTAAAACTTCTCACAACACTCAGTAATAGGGCCCTAATGCCCAAAAACCTGCCATTATTGAGTGAAAATCATAACGTCTGCCGACGGGAAAAAAAAATTCATATAAAATCAACAAATTGTGCTACAAGGTTGCATTATATATCAAATTAAAGCTCTTTTCAGGCTCTGTACAGTGAATTAGTTTATAGAAAGTAAAAACATTTCAGAAATGGACAATAATGTGAAAAAAGTCATCAATATTGGTTCAGAAAATTAAGATTTCTGCTCACGGGGTTGAAAAATTGGAATTAAATCAACATACTGTTCTACCGTGGTTCATCTTGTATAATATAGATCTTGTTCTAGTTTTAATTATCATTTTTGCTGAGAAAGAAACCAGTGGTGGGGAAAAATACAATGTATCATCCTGTGTCCAGTTACTGGATGGAAGAAAGAGTGGGGGGGCGGGGGGAGGGGAATTTCTCCAATTATCAGGTGACATCTAAGTCTAACTAAGTCTAAGAATACGTAAAAAGGCTGGTTGATTCAATAATTGAATATCCACCAATCAAGAACGTAGATCTAGCCTTTTTTGTTACCAAATTAAATGCGAAACAATAGATCTACGAACATTTCCATCGGTAACACTAACACCCGGTAACCCCCTTCCGAGTGTTCAGTAGTGTGTGATGACATGTTACTATAAATAGAACTTCCAGTTCAACTCTTCACGGCTTTATTCTTTCACTTTGTCGACCAGAGATGGTCCGATTTCGAAGCATTTAGAATAAATAAGGTGTTCTTAATTGAAAAGACAGCAAAAATACCACCACGAAGCGATACATTTGTATAGATCGCAATTAATTCACTATGAGGTGGTGGAAATGTAGGTCGGCGTGATTCCCACCAAACAATAGCAATCTATTCACACGTCAAGTGGTGGCCGATTAGTCTTATTTTTCAAAACACGATATTCGTAAGTATCATAAAAGAAAATTATGATAACACTTACATAAACTGACGCCGTAAACAGATCTATCGAATGTTTCTTTCTCTGAACCATCATATAATCGTCTGCTGGTTGGGTCAAGTCAGAGGGGGTGGCAATGGGCGATGGAACTGCCGCAATGGCAGAATGACGATCTCCCGAAAGTGGTTGTTACCCTACTTAGTAAGTAATATTTCTACTTCGTGGAGGGTAGTTGGCTTTTCTAAACACATAAACTAGATGGTAGAGATGTCTAGGAATATGATCCTGGCACAGATAGCCCGATTTGTGTCGAATTTCATATGTTAAAATGCTTTTTTCGTCTTTACATCGTACCACTCATGCTTTCCGCTCGGAATAAAAACATAAACACATTCCCCGGAAATTCTCCTGAAATCCCAGATTTTTATGTTTCAAACCGCAAGAAAATTAGATGATTCATGACTGAGAAATCGAAATTTAAAACAAGTACCCCCCAAATCTAAGCGCGCAAAATTGTGAGACGGCCAAGTTTTCGCGTGTTAAACTTTAGTCAATTAAAAACTAAATATGCAGTCATAAGTATCAGTTTCTCGTTCACCATGGAGAAGGAAAGACACAGAAAACAGTGGTGTCATTTTTATTAGTGTTTACAAAAATTAAAACCAGCTAATAGTTGGATGAAGTTGTCCAAATCTGGCTGCAGCCACTAGCTGTCTGCCTTGAAAACGCGCTGTCTGCGGTACCTAATGATAATGCCTTGAAACTGTATGAATACAACTTAACGTTTTTGTAAGGCTGTTCTTGTACTCTTCTAATCAATGGTTCTTAACACATTACACCCTAAGAGTCTGGACAGGAAGTCCATTGTTAGATCCTAAGCAAGGGGAAGGAACCCACTTCCTGTGAATACAAGCCTTTAAAAAACACGTTTTAAAATTACTAAACAAATTCCAAAAATCCTTTAAAAAATAAAAGTTAAAACGAAAAATGAATGTAGTTTCAGAAAAATATAACTTTATGTACGCGCAAACTGTTGGAAATGTTCTAACTTTAGTTCAATCGGGGTGTCCGACCCGTCACGCTCACTCTCAGCCTTGCGGTCGGGCCCTAGATCTAAATTCTAGATTTTCTATGTCTGATCAATCTGAATCGCCCCAAACTCTTGCTACGTTTTCATCAAAATTTGAGTCATCTGATTTGTCAAATGCTTGTTTTTGCTCAAATCTATCGTTATTTCCTTTTTCGAACTCAATTGTGTCGCTTTTCAACTAGTCGAGACACCTTCGAAGTGTCGGTAACGCGATTGCACTTTGTTCGGCTCTAATACTAAAACTACTGGCCCGAAAAATTTAGTTTCGGTATCAAACGAAAGAAGAAACTTTTTGCAACAACAACTATGCAAATCAAAATCTCGGCCCCAGAGTCTCGTCAAGGCGAGACTTCGTTTCTAAAGACGCTAGGTCGGCGCAGGCGGTTCCGGGTGAGTCAGGGTGGAGTGCGTAAGGGAATTCGCGGGCAAGTTAGGGTGTAATGTGTTAACCTTGTTGGAGATGCTGAACACTTAAGTTTCATAAATGCTTTCTCTGAACCTTATGAGTGGTATGAATGGAATGGACTCACACATATGCATTTACAGTGTGTGTGTTTTGATATTTGCTGAGCACACGAGACTGACTCACTGAATCCCTGGGGTTCGATTGAACCCAGATTAAGAACCACTGTCTCAAACAGTTTTAAAAGTCATCACACCCAAACTTAAATATTTAACAAATAAATCTTGAAGTGGCAAAAAAGTAGATGCTGACTTTTATACTTGTAGATGATTTAAAGATCTTTGAAGCTGTAATCTTAACAGAAAACTTCTTCACAGTTTTTTGCTTGTACTTTTCTCCAGTATGTCCCTCCATCTTGGTGATGAGATCTTTGATGTCTACTCTATGCCTCTCCAAGGAGATTTTAACCATCTTTTTGTACGACAAGGCACTGGATTACAAGGGCAGTCTGTCTTCAGAACAAAGCTTGTTTTCAGGTATTGTGATGGTCAAATTCTGAAAATGTAGAAATAAAATGACAATTCAGTTTAAAAGCGAGTAAAATTCTGATTTGCTTTGTGCACTGTTGTAGTGGTTGCCATTGCTTTGTATTTTGGTCATAAATTCATTCTTAAGCTTTTATTTTTAATGTTTTGTCACTGCAATTTTCTTCACAATGCTTTTTGTTTTGAAGCCATATCAAGTGTCCCTAAAACTGATATAAATTATGGAATGTGTAATTCTGTTATTTTGATGAATTTTATGACAAAATACTCATGTTATATTCGTTCATAATACCATTAGAAAAAGCAACCCTGATAACATATGCATGTGTGGTTTATTGTGGTCTTGATCAGAGACATAAAATAAAATATTTACCTCTGAGCATATTCTTTTCTAAAAATATAAGCAATTTCAAAAGTAATTGAGGGGGCTCTCGTGGCCTAGAGGTTAAGGTGTTGGCCTCTCATTCAAAAGGTCCCGGGTTTGAATCCGGGTAGCGACCGAAAAATTTTCTTCTCTAAATTTGTCTCGTTTCACCTCATTTCCTACTCTCTAGCAATGTTCTGTCGTCTGCTTTCATCTCCTCTTTCTGCCCCCACCCCCTCACCTCCTTTGCCCCTTCCTCTGGGCTCCTGATTCTTTCTGCAGCCTTTCTACTGCTACTCCTTCGCTTCTTCTTGCTGCTGTCTTTCAGCCACACCCCTGATCTTCTGGTAGGAAAGATCTACACCTAGCCTTCTCGGACAAGGGCGAAAAATCTCGGAGGGCCTGTGTGCAAGTTGCGCACGTTAAAGATCCCTTGGTGGTCTAAAATCGATAAGAGTAGGCTTCGGCTGCCACTCGGGCAAAAATCAAAATTTCCTACCAATTGAAAATATTAGGTGTGTCCTGCGGGCTCATATGACCTTATGCAGTTGCGAGCGCCGTAAAACACTTAACAAAAAAACAAAAACAAACAAAAGTAATGGAAACTGTATAGTGAATATTTCCATGAATTTTTGGCTTTTATGGAATGTTTTCATTCCCATCTTCCCCTTTGCTCTAATGTTAGTGATGAGGACTTTTGGGTTTAATTGTTTTTCACTTTTATTTCTTTCTTAATCAAGGAGAATTGGAAATGTCAATGAGGTTTTGGAAATGTTCAGTAAAATTATGGAATAGAATGGGATTAGTAATTAAGGATTGATTTATATTAAAATCTTCTTCATTGATTATCCTCAGGCCACATTCAACAGACTCGTTTACGCATCGTAAGATGACCATGTCTTTAGCTGACCGTTCGACTAAGACCCAGAAAGTTAAAGTATTGCCCATTACTGGTTTGGATCCAGAAGCCAATAGATCTGAAATGATCAAGGTATGTAAAAATTATAGTGAGAACAATATTAAAATTGATTTTGGGTTGAACTGTAATTTTTAAGTAACAGTGCTTGGTTCAACCGTAATTGTTCTGTGTGTGGTGTAAGTTTTTTGTGCAAATATCTTTGTAAGTGTTCAAAATATATTTTTTGAGGTAATTTTCTTACTGAAATTATTTTACTTACTTGCAGCGTTTGATAAGGGAAAATATGTAGGTCTAAGTAATATCCAACAGAAGTTACCATTTATTGACAAAGAGTGCATCATTTCAAGGATGGCTTTTTTTTTTTTTTTTTTGCTCGTATAAGGCACCACATTCTGAAGTTTGTCCTGGCTATTTTACAAAATTTTTTTGACCAGTTTCAGAATTAAAATTCTTGTGAAGACTGTTTAAGATGCCAGTTCTGAATTTTTAAGGCAATATGGGGTAAACTGTTGGAGAACCTCAGATCCTTTTAAGAGGATTTTTTTTCCTTTCATTTGCTCCAGACTGTTTATATGTGGCACGTATAGTCTTGTTTTCTGGCTGCTTGCTGTTGGTGTTAGTCTTGAACTGGATAACTTGATGAAAAAATACATTTGTATTGTAGGGGAATCCTTGACGTCAATTTGACTTATCTCATGGTTGTGACATTCTCTTCGAACTTTGTAATGTGTTTTGTACTTTTGAAGCTCATCTCACTAATGAACTTCTGTTTCCATGATAGAGAGAGGAAGAGAAACTCAGAGCTTCCATAAGACGTGAAAGCCAACAGAAAAGAGTGAGGGAACGTGCCCATTCTCGTGGCATTACGTCATCCTACTTGGAGGGCAGAGATGATGAAGAGGAGGATGATGATGAATCATTCTCAATCAGTGCAATCAAAAACAAGTACAAACAGAATAAGGACACAAGTAAGTTACAAACAGTTATTCCAGTCAAATGATGCCCCCTATTTGGTGTTTAGACAGTAGATTGTATACAAAATTTGAACATTTTGCTCTACAAATATAATCTTTTTTTTTCTTTTCATGCCGCATCACTGAAGCATGTTGCAAGAAATCAGCCCTTTAATAAAGATTTATTTATTCTGTGAATGAAAAGTTTGTCTCTTATTGAAGACATCTTTGGCCCAGAACAGATTTCTCTCTCTCTCTCTCTCTCTCTCTCTCTCTCTCTCTCTCTCTCTCTCTCTCTCTCTCTCTCTCTCTCTCTCTCTCTCTCTCTCTCTCTCTCTCTCTCTCTCTCTCTCTCTCTTTTTCTCTCTCTCTCTCTCTCTCCTCTCTCTCCTCTCTCTCTCTCTCCTCTCTCTCTCTCTCCTCTCTCTCTCTCTCTCACTCTCTCTCTCTCTCTCCCCCCCTCTCTCCTCCTCCCCCCTCTCTCCTCCCCTCCTCCCTCTTTCCCTCCCGTTCTGTGTGATAGTTTTCCCTAAATTGCTTACGTGTCATTGTTTTTTAAAAACTCTCTGAATTCTACCAAAGACATACTGATCTCATTGTAGAGAATCCTTATTCTTACCCCATCAATATCAGTCAGCTTTTCAAATAAATAGTAACAGTATTTTATTCATGATCGTATGTATTCATACACAAGATTTATAGTTTTCATTATGATCTTTCAGAGAGTGGTCACTGTTCCGCTTGTTCTTTTTTCCGTTCTCTATTTATCTTCCCTTAAATTGTCAACATTTGTTATTTAGCCAGTTCCTCAATTTAAAAAAAAAGACAAGGAAGTGTTTATGCAATAAGCAGTTCTGCTTGTCTAATGAGCTGAAGAAAGTGACAGAATTTGTTCAGTCAGCTTCAAAAGTTTTTCTGCTTATAAAGTTTAATATCAAATGATGTTACAGACATGTGCACCAAACCAGTCTAGCTTGTGAAAGTCTAAGTAAAAGCCATCATTGAGTAGAAAGATTGTTTCAGATATTTTATTCTACAGTATCAATTTGACAGTGCAAAAGAAGAATGTACTTTTTTTTGTCTTGTCTGAACAGTCATGATTTTGTTACTCACCATTTTTCTGTGCCCTTGCATGCATTTGTGTTTTCTTTTTCTTTTTGCAGAGCGATCCAACATATATTCTAGTGATGAAAGTGAAGAAGAAAAGGATAGTAAGAAAAAGTCAAAACGAGTCTTGAGTGATGTAAGTATCCCTTGAGCTGATGTGTTGAAAAATTTCATAATTTGTTTCATTAGTGTTTGATGGAGGGCAGTCCTCTTTTTCCTGATGCACCCCACTAATGTAAGGGAAGGCAAGTTCAATTGAGTAGGCAGCGTAAACACGGCCTCGCAGGCACTCGCGGCCTCCCGACCGCGTGGTATCGGTGAAATCGGGGTAATTCCGATCGCTGTTTCTTTGCTCTTTCGCTATAAAACACCAAATGCCGTACACCTTGTAAAAGTTCAGCTTTTCCTCGTTACAATGGTGCAAGTTGTTTTTATGTCCGATTAGTAGGAGCTGGAGAATCGCCGACGAAAGCGAAGCCCCTCGCGGTCAGAATGCGTGGTCGGCCAGTTGAAAAATTGACACGGGTGCATTCAAATGCTTCGCGGACCGAGGGATGATTAAATACCGTCTTTTCATTGGCGGAGAACTGTAGAGCTTTAAACAGGCTTTTCCGTGGTATATATTTGGCCTTTGGCGTCTAAATAGAAAGCTTTTAAAAAATACTGTCAAAATGTTTAAAGATTACTTTTTACACATAATATGTACAATACCGGCTTTAAAAATATATCCAATAAAAGATCAGCTTATTATCTATTAGAATAAAGTAATCAGCTTGGAATTATTTTTCATCAGTCCTTCCGTGAGACTCGGAAAGCATGTGACCCCGCATGTGGGGTGCACTACAGTATAGAGCCGACTCGCTCGCCGGCGGGGCCCGGTGCGGCGCCGGCAGGGTCAACGCTCAGTGTTTTTGTCGAAATAACAACAGATCATCCTGTTTGAGGCGATAAAATACTGATTTGTAATGATCTCACAGTCTTGAAAAAAATTAGGGTCCATATATTTGTTATAGTGATTGTACTCTGTTAATGTGGAGACATTTAGTGCACTTGGTACTCTTTTATTGTCTGTCAAACATGGGGTTGCAGCCAGTGACTGACTTTAATAAAATTTGATCAAATTTTAAACAACTACCATTTTCTTAAAAAATGACTGAGATGTTAAAGAATGGTACCAAAATGCTCAGTGGATATAGGCCTTTCAAACGGAACTGATAAATTTGGCATACAGCTACTTTGAAAATTTAGTTTCTGATACTTAAATTGAGATGCAAATGAAAGAGGTTAGAGGGAAAAGGATCTACTGTTGAATGAGCTTTTTTGTGCCAAATATGACATTACTGAAATGTAAGAAACCAAAATATAAAAATTTTAGTTTTTGTACGAGTGATACTGCTCTTCCAACACAGTTAGGTCACATACGCTGAAGATAAAAAGTGTTACTAGGGAGTGACATACAAAGAAAATAAGGATGTGAAACCACACCAGATCACGGGGCAGCCACCCACAAACATGAGAATGAGGTCTGGATCCTGTAGTTATTTTCTAAAAGGCATTGTGATGTAGTTTTTTGTAAGTCTGTCAGCCCTGTGGACTTTTGTAGAGGGCAGAATCCTCATAAGTGAAATGTCGTTATAATAGCTGGATCATAGGTTCAGCTCTGCCAATTGCATTGTTTGTCTCGAGTCTGTTCTTTCTCGATTACAGTAGTTCTCTTGTATTTGTATATGTCTTTTGTGTGCCATGTCATTTTTACTTCTTTAACTGGCCTACTTTACCCTGTTCTGAATGAAAATGGAATGAAAGGTCGCAATTTTTAACCATTGATGATAGTCGTCTATGAATTGTATGTGAGGTAGTGTGGTGGAATCAGGCTCTCGTCAATTTTTGGGCATGTGGGGTTATTGGAATAATTTTAAAGCTTGTTCACTTGTCTTTATTTGGATTAAAAAAATATCCATTTATCTTGAATACAAGTCGGGATATTTGCGAATGAAGGAGGTGGGGGTCACCTGTTTTCAGAGGTAAAATTATTGAGAAAATGGCCACCAAAGATGAGTTATTTCCTTAGCTTAAGAGTCCGTGGTAACTGAAAATTTTCACTTTTTGTGCTTTTAATCAACGTTTTTCAGAAAAATCCACTAAGAAAGATTTCTTTAATGGCATAGCTGCCACTTTCCCGCTAAATAACGGAAGCAGCTTCATCTAGCTTTTCCCGCTACTTTCCTCCTTCCTCCGCTGGACAGCTCTCGGTCGCAAATTGCGATACTTTTTTTTTACACGCGGAAAACACTGAACCGAGAGAGAGACGAAAACGCAGCTTGTGCATGTCCGCCCGTAGCTTTCTACTTCCGTTCTTCTAGGCCTAGCGCTAGTTTCACATTGTTTATTGTGGAGCAACACAGTCAAAGTCAAAGTGTCGATCGGGCATCGGGACGTTGGCGCACCGAGTTGTCCTTGAAAACGGCGGAAATTCAAGAGAAATTGATGCAGAATGCAAAAATAAAAGGAGTTGGAATGAGAAAGAAGCAGCTGATGTGCGACTTGAAAAGTTCATTAGAAAATTGAACAAGCCGCTTGCTGCATTTTGCGTTTGGTGCGATAAAGAAATTGCGGCACTCCTGTACAATTGCGGTCCCGTTTGTTTACATGACGGCTATTGTGGCTGTTGAAGTGAATCTAGCTCTAGATAATCTATCTTTAGAGATATAATCTAGATTTACACATATTTAGATATCTAGATTCTAGATCTAGATTAGATAGCATAGGCTATAATTTTAATTCAGTTTAGATTTACACACTACAGGGGCACTACTACTGACTAGTACTACATTAAGTGCAAACGGGACCGCAATTGTACTGGAGTGCTCAGCACAGCGGCAAAGGTGTTGCCTCCTTGATCCAATACTGGGCGCGCTCTACATCGATGTACACGTTTAAAGTGAAAGAGTTCTTTTTATAAGACATCAGCTGGCAACACAAACCCTGGATTTTTAGTCACCTAGTCCAAACTGGGTCAAATTGACTCAAATGCTTGTTAGTCAACTTAGATCTAGTGCCTTTGTTTGTTTGTTTTTTTGGGGGGAGGGGTTCAAATACATTTTAATTCAGTTGCCTATGGTTAACAAATATGACAGTTTTCCCTTCCAAAACCATGGGCTAGATTTTCCAGTATATATTACATATATTGCCTCTGGATCTCACTGGTTTTACTCCGGCCTTTGGAGAGCGCGCGTCCGCCTTCGCATGAATTTCCTCCTTTTTAGAAATTCCTGAGTGGCAGCTATGTAATGGGCATGAAAGGTGTTGAGCCAAAAAAACAAAAAAAATTTTTTAATACACAAACCTGCCGAAAAATGCTTGTTTCTTCACTTTGATTATTTTGACGAGAGCCTGATTCAACCATGCTGCCTCACATATAAGAGAAAGCAACTGTCTTTTCAAAGGAAAGATGTCAAAGAAGAGATGTTCACTGCTTTCCCTTTGATTCCTTATAAATAGAATTGACCTCCAGTGTAAGAAATGGCCAACAATAGAGCTTAACTATTTCATGCTGTGTTTTGTACTTTATAAATGTTATTATGTTGTAATGTGACATCTAAAGATATAATGTCTATGCTTATGGATGATGAAACTTTATCATATTTTTTGCAGTTTAGCTCTCTTAGTGAATTTCACAACCCCTCGGGGTTGTACTACTGACTGAAGTGTCTTTAGGCCATTCCCAAAGGTGGGACTTTGCCATGTTCTGTTGCACAGTAGAATTGTAAACGGGCTGATTCATCAATGTCATGCTCATAACTGGGCCAGAATTGCAACTGGGAACTGCTGCTTTTTCTTTCCTCATCCTTACTATCGTCATTTTCCTCAACTTCTTTTGTGTGTTTGTCACTCTTTTGTGACCCGCTATTTACGGGGTGTCTTGATAGCCGAAGTAGACTTTGTGCTGTTGAAGCTAGAGAGGTGAGCAGAGTAAGCCCGATTCCCTGTAAGGACTTCTCTGTTGACGTCCACTCCTTGGTGCTCATATGTCCTTATGCAGTTGCGAGCGCCGTAATACCTCTATCTAAAAAAAGAATGTTTATTTCACCTTGAAACCAGGGTAAGTTAAGGACAGTTGTTATAACTGTGGCACACAGTTTACTTTCTCTTTTTCTTTTGTGTCCAGACAACGCTTAAAACCTGAAAAAGTGAATATATATGGACTTAACTTTCTTCTTTCTTACATTTTCACAAGGTTTGGCACTGAACTTTGTTTTATGAAATAAATTCTGAAACTTTTCTTTTTCTAGGAGGAGGACGAAGACGATGAGGAGATGGCAGTCAAGAAGCGGAAAGCAAAAGTGGTGGAAAGTGAGAGTGAAGGTGAAGGTGGCGGTGGAGACGTCGGTGGACTGGCAGACTCTGACGACGAGAATGAGGCTCCAGCTGGGGATGACAGTCAGGCAAATGAGTCAGGGGGAGGTGGAGGTGGTAGTGACTCCGGAGGTGGTGGTGGTGGCGACGGTGGTGGTGGCAGTGGCAGTGAATCTGGAGGGGGAGGAGGTGCTGGGGGAGCTAGTGACAGTGAATAGAAGTATGTTTGTGTGTGTGTGTGTGTGCGTATGCTTGATGATGTTCGAAATCTAGAGTAAGGAGTGAGCTTGTTGTAAATTTTGTTTGATGAACTATCACTCTGATTGTGTAATATGTGAGATTGGAGAGTTTTCTTTTCTGGAATGGAGTTCTTCATTAGGAATACATTGCTCTCTAGTCTCTGTCTCCTTTTTCAAAGACAAAAGTTGGATGCCCGGGTCTCAAATATTATTGGTTTCCTCATAAGCCACACTCTGAATTTACATCATTTTTACATTAACCCTTTCCTTGGGACAGTCAAGAAAATCACAATAACGTGGTTGTGGCCCCTGTTATTTGATAAATCGTCCCTTTAATCAAACATAGCTGCCACTTTCCCGCTAAATAGCGGAAACTCCGCTTCATCTAGCTTTTCCCGTTACTTTCCTCCTTCCTCCGCTGGACCGCTCTCGGCCGCAAATCGCGATACTTTTTTTTACACGCGGAAATCGCCGAACCGGGAGTGAGACGAAAAAACGGCTTGCACATGTCCACCCATAGCTTTCTACTTCCGTTCTGTGCCTAGTTTCACATTGTTTATTGTTGTGGACTGTCGATCGAGCATCGGGACGATGGCATGTCGAGTTATCATTAAAAACGGCGGAGATTCGAGAGAAATTGATGCAGAATGCCAAAATAAATGGAGCTGGATTGAGAAAGAGGCAGACAATATGCTTTCAAAATTTCTTTTGAGAATTGAACAAGCCGAGTGCTGCACTTTGCATTTGGTGCGATAAGTAAGAAGGCAATTGTTTACTTTCTCGCTTTTAATTCCGGCCGCGCCTAAATTTTCTAGAATCTAGACGAAACTCTATGCATCCCCGACTGGATATTCAACTCTTTGCGCTGGAGTTAAGAATACGTAAACCACGGCTATTTCATCATTTGTAGGTAGATATATCTAGATCTAGTAACGTACACTGGCTTTCACTTTCGGCCTTCCGTACTGATTTTGATGGCCATTGAGTAAAACATTCTAGAGTTCAGAGTGGTCGCTCGTTACGAAGTCCTCCCCCGGAATTAAACGCGAGAAAGTAAACAATTAACACAATTTTGTACTACAGTGGCAAAGGTGTTGCATCCTTAATCCACAACATTGTTGCTCAAGTCTAAAGTGAAAGAAATCTTTTTATGAGACACTAGATTGCAAACACTGGATTTTTAGTCTCCAAACTGGGACAAATGCTTGTTAGTCAACTTAGTGTCTTTTATTGTTTTTGGTTTTTTTTTTGCAAATGCATTTTAATTCAGTTGCCTGTAGTTAACAAATATGACAGTTTTCCCTACCAAAAACATAGATGTTCCAATATATTGGATCTGGATTTCACTGGTTTTACTCCGGCTTTTGGAGAGCACGCGTATGCCTTCGCGTGAATTTCCTCCTTTTTTGAAATTCCTGAGTGGCAGCTATGATCAAATAACAGAATCAACAGATAAGAGTCACATCTGGGTTTAGCAAGTATTGCAGTACACATTTGGTGTACCCTTTCTTTGAACTAAGATGTGTGTAGTTCTTTAGAGAATGATGCTCGGAAGTTGTGATGGTATGTGTTTCATAATTTTATCTCAGAGTTGACAGACCAGGGGTGCTAGTAGAGTTTGTTTGTGTCATTGCAAGACTGGAATGATGACTGAGTTCTGAGGATGATTAGATGAGGGTTTTTTTTTGGTTCAGAGATGTTCACCAGCTGCTCTCATTTTGTTGTAACATTTGCATAACATTTGCAAAACCTTCCGTTTAGGGTGGTTGAATCAAATGTTTTGTTGGTGATGTATAAGTATAATAAACAATTATTTAAAAAATTGTTTCAAAACAAAGTTATAGTATTTTTTTCATGCTTTCTATCCTTCATGTAAAGGAACTTGAGAACCTGAGGTTCCTTGCATGTCCTTGACGAGTTTGTATATTGAAAATGTAAATATTAGGTTTCTTCCTTCGAATTAGTTTTGATTACAGTGAACCAACAAAGTGTTGATTTGTCACAGTGTAAATTGTTTTGCTTGTTTTAATTTTCTAAATGAATATGGAAAAGTTCTTCCACCTGTGATGGGCTTCTTTGACATACAGTTCAATCACTTTGTTACATTTCCTATGTGTATAAGGACTCTAAATGACTGGCTTAAAAGTGAAAAGTGAATACCTCTAATACATGGTTAAACTGAAAACTGTGATAAACAGAAAGAAAATGAAATCCCCAATTTTTTTCCCTCTCTTTGTCTTTGTAAGAACACTATCGATAAGCTGAAAAGAATATTGAGAATGGTGATTGAATCTTCACTAGCATCCCTCACACAATGCAAATCAGCCTCACACAATGCAAATCAGCCTCACACAATGCAAATCAGCAGCTTTACGTGCTTCAAGTTATCAAAACAGGAGAAAGAGACATGAGAATGCTTGTGTGTCAATTGCGGGCCAAAGAGAAGCATCGCCGGTGCACTGTTTGCCTACGTTTATAATATGACATACATCAATGGGTTTAAACACTGTGTAAAGGCCAAGTGGTGCAAGGATATAGAATGTACATCTACCACATAACCTTTGATTTTGATTGGCTACAGGTGGACACTTGGGGGCATGTGGTGTGTTTCATGATGTCACCAGCATTGGGCCTTCTCATTTCTCTAGACTAGCCTAGTTACAGTAAGTTGTGCAGTACATTGTGCTTATCTACTCTTTCATCTGTACTGTGTAAATGTTTGACAGATTAAGCAAATGGGTGGTTGGCGGATGCTCTGGTGTGATTTTCTTTTTCTTTCCTATCATACATCTATCGTCCTTATCTTCCCTCCTTCTTTTTTGAGTTTGTTACTCTCTTACTTGTAACACCTCTAGCCTTCGGCACTTATATGACCTTATTGTGTTGCCAGTGCAGTAAAACACTGAAACAAGATGAAGCAAGTTGATAATGTCTAAAGGAGAGAACAATGCTTTCAGCCTACAGCTCAGGTTGAAGTCAGAAGAGGTAGAGGAGAAAAAAACTTTCAGAAAGTGATATTTATTGCTGGAAGCATGGCATTCCCAACATTTTCAGAAAGTGACATTTGCTGGAAGCATGGCATTCCCAACTCTAGACTATCAACAATCATGACTATTTGAGCAACCCTCTTTAATTAAATGGAAAACATGATAAGACGGAAGAAAATCCTGTAGTCCTGCAGATTTCAATCTAAATCTAAGCAGACTCTTTTGTAGATATTTAATTTTTATAAATGAATACAAACTAGAATGAGATTCTTTCCTGATTTTAGGTTCTGTCCCACTGTGCAGCTGAGGGTCAATGTTTGTTACCTTACACCTATGGAAATACAGTGCTACTCTAAGTTGAATTTCCCACTTACTTATAGAAATATCCATGCACCTCAGATTCACCTGTGCAGGAGCAAGGAAAAACATGTTTGAGATGGAAGAACTGACAATGTATTGACCTTTGAGCGTTCACTTGACCTCATTTCAAGAAGGGCCTACTCTCTTGGGTCTGTTCTTGATTCACAAAATCAAATGCAGTTACTTTTTGTTTGGGTTCTTGTTTTGTCTTGCCAATTTCAATGCAAAATGGGTTGTTTCATATGGGGACCTCTAAATTAAATGAACATCCATCTCTAATATCTTTAAAATAAAACAATGTCCCTAACATTACTGACAACTAATGTTTAGACTAGGCACTGATCGTCCACTTCGTTGCAATAAAGTGTGTAGTCAGTTACTGTAAAAGAATGGGTGCCGTACATTTTTTTCTTCTGCACTCAACAACACAAACAGGGCACTTGTTAAGTAAAGCAGTTTTAACTTTTGGGGCTTCTTGAGTATTGAACTTAAACACAAATAAATGGAACGGACCTTCAAGTCGAGAAATTGTCCGAGAATATTTCTTGAAAACACATACTGCTGAGCCGGCGGGACGCCTCTGGTAGTTTGCTCTTACTTTCCTCTCCCTCTGTTGCTTCTTCTTTCCTATCAAATATCTTTCGTCTTTATCTCCCCTCAATGGGTGGTTGGCGGGTGCTCTGGTGGGGTTTGCTTCTTCTTTCCTATCAAACATCTGTCGTCCTTCTCTCTCCTCCTGTTTGTGTTTGTTACTCTCTTGTAACACCTCTAATCTTCGGCACTTATATGACCTTATTGTGTTGCAAGTGCCGTAAAACTCTTACTAAAACTAAAACTCTAATCTTCGGCACTTATATGATGACCTTATTGTGTTACAAGTGCCGTCAAAAGTCTTACTTTAAAAATACCCAAACACAAAACTAGTTAAAGGCAGCGAGTTCGATTAATTTGTTTTGAGTGAAAGTGAAAGCAGCCTTGGGGTACCTCTCCTGTAGGTCACAACACCTCCCCGGGGGGGGGGGGGGGGGCGCCCGAGCCGGCGAGCAGTCGCTTGAGTCACACAACGGACAGCTCAACTTTCATTTACTGCCTATCCTGCTGGATCGCCCCTCATAAAAGGGTAATTGGCATAATTACAGGGTATCCTTTTTCACGAGCGGAAAACGAGGTTGAACGAGTGGACACGCTGCATGGACACGCTGCGTGGACACGCTGCATGGACTTGTTCTGGGTAGGACGTCCACAAAATGGGCACACATTTGACTATAACTATAACCTACATGTACTATACTATACTGTAGGTGCGATAGTAGGCCCCTACACTGGCTTTAGAAGATGAAGTGTAAACCCAACACATACTGTATAATTGTTATTAATATGGGTACATGTGTATGGATTTTAATTCGAAAGCTCTGCCAGCGTGTGTGCACGACATTCTTTATTTTCCTTCAATACGCGTGTCTATGAAGAAAGACAAACGAGACATTAATTGGATGGAAGCTTGAGTTTATTTAAAACAATCAAACAACCTCCCCCCCCCCCAACAAACAAACAAACCCACAACAACAACAAACAAATAAACGGACCACTCGTTTGACTGGCGATAATACACAGGTGAATGGACGCAAGGTACAGCACAGTGCTCTTCCCGACACACTGAGTGACTCTCACAAACGCCTTGCCTTGACAAACGAGACGAGTGAACAGAGAGAGACCCAACAAGTAACATTTTATTTAAACAAGAGAGGTTTTTTAATAATCTTTACAATACATGTTTGTGCACTTTACAACATGACAGTCAGGCACCGGATTCTGTGGTGGTAGGAGGGCCAGGCTCTTCATTGGTGCAAGCAAAAGGCACGGGTTCGATTGTCACAAAAAAAGAGTTTCATTGTATTGAGTGTCTCCAAACTCATGTTTCTAGCCTTCGGCACTTATATGACCTTACTGTGTTGCCAGTGCAGTAAAACACTGAAACAAGATGAAGCAAGTTGATAATGTCTAAAGGAGAGAACAATGCTTTCAGCCTACATCTCAGGTTGAAGTCAGAAGAGGTAGAGGAGAAAAAAACTTTCAGAAAGTGATATTTATTGCTGGAAGCATGGCATTCCCAACACTTTCAGAAAGTGACATTTGCTGGAAGCATGGCATTCCCAACTCTAGACTATCAACAATCATGACTATTTGAGCAACCCTCTTTAATTAAATGGAAAACATGATAAGACGGAAGGAAATCCTGTAGTCCTGCAGATTTCAATCTAAATCTAAGCAGACTCTTTTGTAGATATTTAACTTTTATAAATGAATACAAACTAGAATGAGATTCTTTCCTGATTTTAGGTTCTGTCCCACTGTGCAGCTGAGGGTCAATGTTTGTTACCTACAGTGCTACTCTAAGTTGAATTTCCCACTTACTTATAGAAATATCCATGCACCTCAGATTCACCTGTGCAGGAGCAAGGAAAAACATGTTTGAGATGGAAGAACTGACAATGTATTGACCATTGAGCGTTCACTTGACCTTATTTCAAGTAGGGCCTACTCTCTTGGGTCTGTTCTTGATTCACAAAATCAAATGCAGTTACTTTCTGTTTGGGTTCTTGTTTTGTCTTGCCAATTTCAATGCAAAATGGGTTGTTTCATAGGGGGACCTCTAAATTAAATGAACATCCATCTCTAATATCTTTAAAATAAAACAATGTCCCTAACATTACTAACAACTAATGTTTAGACAAAACACTGATCGTCCACTTCGTTGCAATAAAGTGTGTAGTCAATTACTGTAGAAGAATGGGTGCCGTACAATTTTTTTTTCTACCCTCAACAACACAAACAGGGCACTTGTTAAGTAAAGCAGTTTTAACTTTTGGGGCTTCTTGAGTATTGAACTTAAACACAAATAAATGGAACGGACCTTCAAGTCGAGAAATTGTCTGAGAATATTTCTTGAAAACACATACTGCTGAGCCGGCGGGACGCCTCTGGTAGTTTGCTCTTACTTTTCTCTCCCTCTGTTGCATCTTCTTTCCTATCAAATATCTTTCGTCTTTATCTCCCCTCAATGGGTGGTTGGCGGGTGCTCTGGTGGGGTTTGCTTCTTCTTTCCCATCAAACATCTGTCGTCCTTGTCTCTCCTCCTGTTTGTGTTTGTTACTCTCTTGTAACACCTCTAATCTTCGGCACTTATATGACCTTATTGTGTTGCAAGTGCCGTAAAACTCTTACTAAAACTAAAACTCTAATCTTCGGCACTTATATGATGACCTTATTGTGTTACAAGTGCCGTCAAAAGTCTTACTTTAAAAATACCCAAACACAAAACTAGTTAAAGGCAGCGAGTTCGATTAATTTGTTTTGAGTGAAAGTGAAAGCAGCCTTGGGGTACCTCTCCTGTAGGTCACAACACCTCCCCGGGGGGGGGGGGGGGGGCGCCCGAGCCGGCGAGCAGTCGCTTGAGTCACACAACGGACAGCTCAACTTTCATTTACTG